GAGCTAACTCTAAAAGTGAAGAATGTTTCCAGCATTGTATTGACAACGACAGCCGCCATTAATTGAATATAACTTTTTTTTTGGGATTCAATAATTGATATGGAATTCCTGCTCAGATGAAGGGGATAAATGGACCAAATTCCTCAGCGTTTAGCATTGACTCTTTTTACTTTCTGCATCGTACTGTAAAGTGTAAAGATCATCATGTCTTCTACGCATTGCCAAGAAATTACGGACTTAAACCGATGTATGCTGAAGGCATGAGAACTACCAGTCGATGGTAGCAGTTTCATGCAGGTTGACTCCATGGAGGCTTGATTGAACTGGGAAAGTACCGATCCAATATTTGATCATTCAACCACGCGTGCGCTCGTGTGCCCATTGCCAATTCACCAGCTACGCCCTAGACAAGGAATCGAGCTGCTATACAACAATGAATATTTCATGAGTAAACTGACTTGTGGGGTACCTTTAACCCGAAATTCGCGTCACGTTCGCCGCACCCAGTCGTGCGCTATAAGGGAAGGATTGAATTCTGAGTGGAGGATACAGTAATCGCCGTGGAATTCGAGGAGAAGCACCCCCATTCTTAGCTGACTATGGTCAATATTGTCAGATCATTTCGTGCCAACAATTAAATGATATATTAAACTAAGTGAGTACTTTCCTAGCTGATTTGTCTGCTCAGCTGTGGAAGCAGCCCTACGACATTTGAGGGTGTCAAATTTTGAATATGACATAGGAGAGAGAATGTCTATGCTTGGATCTAAAGTCATGTAAAAAGAAGAATCGCGATTCTACTCGGCCAACCCAGATTTCATCGCAGACTGATTGTACAGACAGGAAATCATCATCTCTCAACTCATGAGAACGATAGAAGGCGCGAAAGTTGAAAAAAGTTTACGGGGTGACAACTGTCACTATCTCCCTGATGACCACACAAAAAGACTTCTTTTAGGTATTCTAAGTTAACAATATGGCATGAAAGACACAGGAAGAATGGCATGACATTTGAACACTTTTAGCACATTCTGTTCGCTCAACAAAGTTATGCGTCATTTCAGAAGCGTTTAGCGAACAGCCGCTGTCATTCAAACTCATCGGAAAAACCCATTGCTGGAATTCAGAGCCACGTAAAAACGTATCCACTGCTGTCACCATGTTCAAGCGTTTGCGCTTACCTATCAACCGTGGGTTCCATAAGTCATCGTCCGTAGTTACCGAGTATAAACGCTATCGTTGTTACAGCCCTCACGAAGTCCCACAAAGGAAAACCTACCCACGAAACTTCTCTCGTACATATACAACTGTTCAAAATCCTGACCGCTATTAGGTTAGGGCAGTGTGGTCTTTGTACTTAGGGCGACATCTTTACTGCTTTGTCGTATGGCTGCTTATTTATTTTACTTCTATTGTAATTCTTAGGGATTTACACTTTGTGATGTGCTATCTGTGCACCTTGAGTGCGCATAAATAAACAAGCAAACAAACAAGTACGCACCAATAAAACGAGAAGTGGGGTTGCATCCCGTCATTTCATTGCCGATGAATCTATAGCACCAGCATACCGTACCTAAATTTATCCGTCCTGGATCAATAACCAGATTTTCATACTTTTCGTTGACCATAATATGTGACAACAATTTACTCAGAATAAACTCATATATTGCCAAACAATACAATAATACTTAGGAAATGAACTGTTGATACTACGATATTACACTGGGTCAACTACAACGAGCAAATAAGATAATAAATGGAAGCGCGACATGCTAGCAACCTCAACATCGCATAAACAGTTACATAAAAAAAAGGGAGGAAAAACATAACTCAGCATTACCAAAACACTAACAAATAACATTAAAAACTTCTAATGATACAACTCATTCCACTAAAAACAGTATCTCGTAAACTCATGTTTCTTAGCCGTAAAAAGTCTCGCGTTTAATTGTTGCTTCTAACGTAATAAACTCACACAGACACATATTTTTACTAAATTCTCTGAAAAACCAACATGCGAAGAGGTGCGATGGTGCACGAACGCGTCTTTGCAGATGCAACTACGTTTTAAAAAAGGTTCGACCTAAACTTATCAAACTCCACCCACACGTGGGCGGAGTTTGTCACAATAAACCAGACTTCAAATTTGAACGTTGAAGGAGCCACATAAACATTCACATGAAACCACTACTCAATGTTTCGTGGTGGGAAAGCGGATACAATGAGAAAACAGGCTCAGATCATGAATATAAAAAAGATGATGTTGAGGATGAGACAATGATGAAATAAATGGTAGAGAAAAGAACTGGAGTGGGCAGTGAATAGAGGAATTATTACTCCCGGCCAGATGCCATCGCACAATCCGAAAGACGTTAAAGAGAAACGGGTTTAAGGAAGAATAAAAAACATAACAAAACAACTTCGATTTCAATGCACTAAACACATTGCTAGACAGTGCTTTGTAAACTTTACGGTCTCGTAGAGACTGTCTGCAAAGTGATCACTGCACTGAAACGAGTGCCAACAATTACTCATATAAGAAAAGTCGTCTCAAATACGAAAAAAATCTTAATAAAATTACGACTGCGACGACTATAACAACAAACAGCGCTACGGAAAACAAACGATGCTCTAGGCCGCTGGGAGCAATGACTCTCGAGGAAAAAGGTTTCCATTTTTTCTAAGAATTGTTGTGAAGCAAACTTCTCGCTCTTATTCAACGCATACTGGCATGTACTGCAAAAGCAGGGTAGAGAGAAGGTGGAGAGGAAAGGAACGAAAATATGATGAAGACTAGCAATGAGTAGGGGTGTGGCACGAGTGTGCGACCTATCTACGTTGAGCTCTGCCCAACGGACGAGTTGTCTACCAGCGAAAAACATATGATCAGTAATTGGTACTTCACATATCGTGTTCACAATAGTTTGAGAAATTGAAGGAGCAGTAATGATTGTCCCTATGCCACGCTCATACCCATGCCCAAAACTTAGTCTTTCATAGATCGCGGAGTGATGCCAAGCAATGATAAAGGTTACAGCGTATAAGCCTGCTAAGTAATCAGGTGGCAGCCTCACACTTCTCAATTTAGGTCGCATCACACAGTGACCGATAAAGACTAGGTTTAAACGTGCACACCCGGAAATGTTACACTACAGCAATGAAGTAACCGTAATTTCGAACACCACGTCATTCTTAATAGGGCAAAATCACAAAACCATTTCCGTGCTAAAATTTCGCGAAGGTGCAAATGATTTAGAAACCGAGAAAAACTAGAAACGATTTCACCCGGAAAATACTTGAACTGCCTAAAAAGACGTGATGCCCGAAAAATGAAAATATGACAAAACTGACCGGATAGCAACCAAGAACGATAGTGCGTGACATGATGCACCACCGGAGCGAAAACAAGCTTCACAAGACATAAAATCCAAAAAGAAAAACGATAAACAAAAAAAACGAGCAGGGGTGTAGAAATAACAAGCATTGCTTAAATCTATGGTAGCTCAACGTATGCCGATTAAAAATAAACGGGATACGGTCTCCCCTCTAACAGGAGAGAACCAGCGGGTCGTTTCTGTTATGGAACGCATTCACTAGCATCTAATCTCTATAAAAACAACGACAATGGTGGATTGATATTCTCACCAAAAACGATACGTAAGCATCTTCAGCTAAAACAGCGTAAGCGGTGACAGTAGCGGCAGTAGATGACAAGGCCGTAACAAATTACCGTACCAGAGGAGCTTGTGAAGTGGGTGGTGGTGACGCTGATGGCGGCACCAAAGCACCGCCTTCAAGATGTCGAATCGCGTCCAAGATCGTTTGCAGCGAACGATGTGCTGTGATCGACGACGAACTGAACGCGGAAGGTGCCGAGAGCGGACCTGATGTTGCAGCGGATGAAGTTAGCGCCGGTGGTATCATAGGTGATGGCGCTGGTGGCATCGGGACTGCCATACGCGGCGATACGTCCACTGAAAGGAAAGTTAAGATCAGCTTGATTGTTAAGGATAATTATGACACTCAGATTCCACATTTTATAAAGATGCGAACTTAGCGACACAATTCGCGGAAAGAATTCACCCTCACGAATAGCATATGCGGCGTTGTCGAATCGGAAAATAACTGAATACGGCGTTATAAAGACTCAAGGACTGTATTGTCTGTATGCCACACCCAAAAGCGGACGAGTTTAACGGCGTCGGGGAGGTCGCACCATTCACAAGGGAAATTCATGTTGTAGGATCAAATATCTAGTCGAGGATGGCGACACTGGAAGGCAGTTTTGGACATTTTCAGCGTAATGCAGTTAGCCCTTTACACAATTGCAACTACTGATATCTCGTCCGAACACTTTTTCCACGCCGTTTCGTCATGGTTATCTCGTACAATCCCCATTTTTAATTCTTTTTTGAAGCCCTATTTTTGGCGAAGCCCCTAGGCACTAATCATCATCAACCCTTCCGTTTTTCAACTTGCACCCCAAAATTATCGTGCACTGGGCTTTTAAGATTCTGTTTGAAATTTAAAAAAAAAACGCTACAATCCCTAAAGTTTCACTTTTAAGAAGTCGTATGTAAACAACCCTACGTGAGTAGGTACCCCGATTTTTACTTCAGCTTTCTTATAATAGTTTCCATATAATTAGTTCGCAAATAAGAAAACACAATAAAAACCCCCTCCCCCTAACCCCTTACATATAAGAGATCCACAACACTCATCTTACTCTAAACTTTAGCCCCGACCCTATCTACCTTAATTACAAACTTCTCCTTCTACAAACTTAACCCTAAGTGAAAGCAGTGTTGTTAATTGGGACTACTACCTTCTTTTCTAACCAACTGTCTTGCCCAGTGTTGTCCAGGAGCACTGCCCACCATCAAAGTTCTACTGGAAGAGACGCTATGGCCTCACACTTCCATTATAAAGAAACTCGGTTCCAAGCAATAATTCCACAAGAAATAACCACTCACCCGAAATTGGTGCAATTAGGGGCGTCGGCCGTATCACCGAATCATGAACGCTCATCGTTGTCGTGGTGATGGTGATCTTCGCAGCTGAATTAGCGATTTGTTGCGCCGTTGGAGGCGGCTGTGGTTGACGTGGTTGCTGTTGCTGCTGCGGTGGACTGCTTGACGGATTCAGTGCGACCGTAGCAGCGGCATTCAAACCGTTCTGATACATTTCTCGCATCTGATTCAGCTGCTGTTCCAGAAACATACGCGTTGTACGCTCTCGTTCCAATGCCATTTGAAGGCGATCGATCATCGAACGTTGCTGATCGAATTCCACGCAATCGTCAACTAAACGATTCAACATAATCGACTGATGAACGTAGGCTTCAGGATAGGAATAGTTTCTCGTAAAGGCAAATCGTTTCACTCATCCCATGAAAGCATTTCATGAAACTCAACAACTTAGTAACAAAATCCGTTAGAAAATTTTTGTAGGAAATAAAAGCTTAGAGGAATTAACTTAAAAAACAAAAACCTACTTTCGACTTTTGGTTTCTTTCCACCAACTTCATCTTTATCCGCGTAACGAGAGCGCTCGCTTTGAAGTTGTTGAATAAGGTCTGCAGTGTGTTGTAGTATGGCTGCTTTTGATAACTTCTCACCTTCCTGAAAACGCGACGCTAACTCGAACAAAAATTCGAGAAGTGAATCACCTGGTTACTGTGGGTAGAAAAAAAATTGAGAACAATAGTGTACCTTTCGTGGCAGCAAAGCTCGTAAGGATTGGAATCCAGCATTTATGGATTGCATACGGCGTCGCTCATTGCAGTTAGCGATTTGTCGTCTCAGTCGGCGATCCGGATCACTAGAATTTGGCGACAGCGATGATGCAGAGCGCGAGGTCGGTCTAAAATACGTTTTTGTGTCAACATTCAATAAACCGTAAATGTGCCAAATACTACACCAGCCGTTCTACTATCATATTTCTCAGTCCATCGATCAGTCCTAAATGCTCGCAGTGAAAGCAGACACAGTATGGTAGCGAAGGCAGCAAGCTATGGGCTCTTTTGCGCCATAGTTACACCGCTACGAAATTTCTTCGCCTCAAAATCACACCACCATATGTTGCACTTTCTATCAGTATTCCAACAATCGCCTACATAAAAATCAATTCTGCCAGCTGATAAATAAAGATCAGTTTCGCTCCCTCCCACCTCAGCGCATTCATTCGTTTGTTTGGCCGTTCGTTGACGCCAAGTACATATCACAAACGACGCAGAAAAGCTCTCAGCCATCACATGGGAGCATATGCCATTTCCTGGAAATTCGCCACCGCCACTGTTCGATTTGCAAGCTTTTACACACGATCGCGTACGACATCGGCTGCTGTGTGCGGTCGGTCACATGTGGTGCGCGTGTATGTGCGATAGATCAGCTGTTCACTTCAGTCGATGGCAGCAGCGCCCAAAAACCCTCCATCAGCTACGAAATGAACACGATAGCCAATATTGCTGTATGATCATGGGGTCCGAAACAGGCAAAAGGTTTACGACCCTGGAAGGTGCAATGAAACGGTTGAAGATAGTTGCTTATCTTCAATGATTCGTCCGCTCCTTATCAGTCCGGCAACCCAGCTGGATGCTTAAGTTTCTATTTCCTGACAGACTATTTTGTTCACAAATCGTTTATAACCCGAAACGTTAGCCATTAAGGTATTGTAACCTCGTGTGGAGATGTACAAATAAAGTTATTTCGACAATATGACGAGGTTCATCGAGAGCCGCACGTAGAGACGTTCACAATCCAATTCTTCTCATTATTTCAAATAACTATTCTACATTAAACAGATGCTAGGCATGAGTGGGTTTAAGGTAGCCCAAAGTTCACAGCTGAGGAAATTCAGTGAGGAAGTCCACCCTCTTGACAGCTACAATTTCAGAGAAGGGACGTGGAAAAGTAAACAGTACACGCTGAGATCATCCAACAGGTGGGGGGGGGGGGGGGGGGGGGCNATTTAGTGAAAAGACGAAAGAAGCTGTTGGATTCCGATTAGAACCTTTAAAAGCTCCTATCAATCGTTACCTACTCTAATCCTTGTTGAGACTATCAAAATCAAAACTGTTTGAACTGATGTAGTCGACGAAATACTGTCACTTTCACATTTTCAGACATTTCAACGTTAAGAATTACTCTTTCCATTACTTCTAAACATTTTCAAATCTCAATAAAGCTGTAGAAACATTCATAAATTTTGACGGTTCCCTTCAAAATCGTAAAAAGAGCGTTTGAGGAATAAATCTGCGTAGAGATTTCGAAGTCAAGCCAACTGCTGACATCATCATGATGTATAACGTAACACCTGGATTGTCACATTACTAGGATTGAAACTATTTCAGGCGCCACTTCTAATGCAGATTAAACGCGTCAACACTTCGGCGATAACATAATGCGACTGAAGAACGAAACCTTTTCGGCCAACCTTTGAAAAAAGGGATCGCATTGTTACCCTCCAGCAGGGCAAGTGTTTGAAACATACATAATTGTTTACTTGTCCTTATATGAATGAACCATTGAATGACTCATAGAAAACAAACATCAGGCGGCCACTGCCCAGCCAAAAACCACATCTGTTTATCGGGCTCATAACGTTTTACCACCACCACCGCCATCATCGCTAAACTAGGCTTCTATACGTTATCAGCGTATTGTGACGGACTACTGGCCCTTTTACGATATTATTCCTCAGACCACTCGCCGTTCGAATAAATCAAAATTTGAAGGTTATCAGTGCAAAATTGAAAGAATTTCGGTACAGAAAAAACGGAATTTGATGCAAGAAATCAGCAAAAGTTCGTTTACGGGAATTTAGTAAAGCATCGACTATTTGGTAGTATTGGATTGAATGCCTCTATAACCTGATTGAAATTACTGTCCAAGAAAACTACAGAAAAATCTCCAGTTTCTCGAAAACAAAAGTACATGGTGGAGATTCAGAATGCCTGAAATACCACATGATCGAGATTGTTTTTAATGCAAATGCCGATTCTACGATGATTTTACGATGAGACGAGGAACAACAGAATCCCTTCCGATAGAAACTATTGAACAATTAGCAATATTGAACAATACCCCACTATGATTTCAAAGGATTTCAGAACTTCAAGTGACCAACCAGTTTTAGTAAGTAAAGGACCTGATAATGTCACACTAGCAGTACTGCAAAAGGATCTCGCAACAAATCCACTTTGAGCAACGGACGTACTCTTTACTTACTATAATGAGCTACCAAACTTCCAAGGAATTTCTTCTGATTCACAAACACTTCAAACACCTTTTGACCGAGTTTTGTGTAAAGGAGCAATTGTAAGATTATGCCGATTCCATAAGTGAAAACAGTAACCAGAACCAAGAATAATGTCTCCATAAAGTTAAAGGCGGCTTGGCATCAACTATCAGTATCATCAACTATCACTTACTTGATAAGTCTTACCAGCTAGTCGAACACCACCATTATTGGGTATTGGAAGACGCGAGAAACTATGTTCCCCAGCCAATCGCCATGTTTTTAAAAAAGAAGGAAATACATGTCAGCTGCAAGTTACGGTCATTTACAAGCCTAACTCAAAGCTTTTCTAAAAAATGAAAAATTAAATGATCGAGGCAGTTCGATAGACTCCCATGGTAGGTTCAAATGATTCATTGATCAGTGACGGGAATAAGAACGGAGTGGATAGCGCAGCCAGAGGACCATGTACAATGTTGAAGAGTACCCTAAAATTCCATAGATAAGAGCGGGTGAACCTACCGGTGAAAAATGAAATGGAAAAAATCGAAATTGAGTGCAGTCACCCCTCTAACTAGATGGATGGATAAATTAAGCTTCGCAGAAGAAGTTAAGAAGAAGCTTCGCCCT